TGGGTAATGGAACCTTGGTTTTCATTCAGACCTTACTAACTAGTCATTTTCCTCCCTTGGAATACACTTGGGTGTTTAATACCAACAAAATGGTGCCAAAGCATAAGCCTAGGATACCAGAACTCTGTGCTTTCATGACAGCTCCTACTTCTAAACTAGATGGATAGCGGTCACATTGTAAGCGTGGTTGCTGAAGTTTTCCATCTAGTCAAAGGAAAGAATGCTACTCCTAAAACCAGTAGACAGGACAAAGACAACAGGATAGAAACCTCAGGGGATGGTAAGAAACGTATCCATGCACTAGGAAGTAGTTACATGGTTATTCTTCCATACCGATGTTCCGTTCCATGGCAACACTGTTCTGTTTGAAAACTTCAGTTACCAGGGTATGTTTGTCCTCTTTTTATTTCCGTACTCAGGATACCAAATTCCATAAGACCCTGGACCTAGGAAATAAACATCTTTTCTGAAGACAGATAGCTTTAGAGCCCCACAAAACTGCGTGAGGGAAAACCACAGGGCGGATTACTGAAAACCAGAGGGCAAGTGAAGGAAGCTGAGCACAGGACGCCAGTGGTGGCAGGGGGACTCTAGAAATGAGCATCTCCTTGCTGAGGCCCTGACTTTGGCCTTGGTTACGTACAGAACAATCGTGATGAGATTGCAGATGGTTGAGTGAAGGGACAGGGGAACCAGAAGGGAAAACATAAAGGCAGCATGCACTGGAGGACTTGAGAGCTTGGAGAGAGGGGTAATCTGGGCATGCGTGTGGGCTTGGAGAAAGAGGAAATAGAAGCAATGATGCCGAACTTGAGGAGGGTGAGAGTCATAATCATTGTCTTCACCGCGTATGTGGGTGGGGTCTCCCGAGATAAAAGTGGGACTCGGGAAGACAGGAAGGTCATGATGTGCTAATGCCTAGAGAGCGGTTTTGCCAGATGATCAGATGTGACACAGGAAGAGGAAACCAAATAAATTGATCGGCAATGAGTGTAAACATGTCGAGGACCGACAGGAATACATTTGACCTCCAGAGGGGTCTGGGAGGGATGGCAGCCATGGAAAGATGGAAGAAGATGTAGATAACAGCACTAAGGTGAAGTGAGGCAGCCTGAGCTCAGTTCTCAGCAGAGGCTAACAAAACAGAGCCCCTCTATGCCAGCACCGAGTTCCTAAATGGCATTATGGTGCACACTGGCTCTCGTCTTCCTCCTTTCTCTTAATCCCTGTTTTTCCCTCCCTTTCTCTCTGTTACTGGTGACCGTGAAAAGCTGCTAATAAGCTAAACGTGTAGCAATGGAGACTCTAAATAAATTATCACACGTTCACGCTCTGGGGTACCAAGAGGCAAAGTTTTAGAGCAGGTGGGCATGTTTGCTGCTGCAGAAGGGATTCCTCTGTAATAGATGGAATCGGATCTCAGTGGGGACAAAGGAAGAAGGAAAAGGAGGAGAGCAATACAGTTGGGAGAGAAGTGGGAAAAAAATCATACTTTATAAATATACATATAAATATACATATTGAGTGTGCGTGTTTTGTGAACAGACATTTTTAAAAGATTCTGAACTGGTAACTAGTTACTCCCAGGTGTGGGCCTGGGGTTGTGGTAGCAAGGGAGAATCTCTCAGCGTCGTTTCTACAGCCCTTGACTGTTTTACAGCCATTGCTGTGCATTACATCAGTTCTCAAAGATACAAACAACTCTATAAATGGCTCTATGTGGGACTGCAGGAGTTCCGGTGAGCTTTAGACTTTTATTAACTTTGGATTTGGGCCTGATAGAAGCAGGCAGCCAATGTTTGTTTACCCGTGGAAGGCGCATTGTTTGGGGCCGGGAGGGTGGAAGCAATTTGCAAAAGCACTCAGCAGAAACAGGAGAATGCTGTCAATGAGTTGGAAAATTGTTCTGAACAATGTGCGTGATGAAGGTGAGAGGCTGAACTGGCGCGCGGAAGTTTGATCCCCCATTTGCGGTCTCCTGATTGCAAATGAGAGAGAAACTATTAAAGTACAGAGGCAGCCAGCTTGCCCACTCTTAAATGAAGAATTTCCAGGTCACACACACGGAACTGCAGATGATAAAGCATTGTGTCTGATACCTACTCTATAAGGATTTTAAAGAGCAAATTCAGCTCTATTTTAAAACACTAAAAGGTAAAGTTTTAATAATATTAAATACTAAATAATATTTAATTAACTAAGAATTTCAATATTTTATTTCTTTTTTATAATTTTCTGCTCAAAGGCCAGGTGCCCAACCTTCCCACTTAATCTCTGGAAACCATGCAGGTTGATGCCTATGACTTCACTTTCCATTAGCTGCCTGTCTAAATATACCTCAGAACAAAGCGCTGCAGACAGGTTCAGTGTGAAACCTCTCTCTCTCTCTCTCACCATTTTTCAAATTGTGTGAATCAGTTGCACTCGGGAATTCATTCACTTGTGTGACTTTCCTGAATCAAGGACACTTCACTCACACTCTCTGGCTGGAGTCTCAAGGGGAATAAAAAAGAAGAACGGGTGAACAAAGCAGATTCATCCCATGGCCGTTCTCGTTCTCTTGTGTGTTTTCTCCCTGCAGGATTAAAACCAGGAGGCTGGTCCTCTCTCACCTGACTCCTGTTCTGTCTCACCCTCCAGCGCTGAACTCTTCACTTGGGGTCACTACCCAAATTCTCTATAAAACTGGCTAGAATATTTGTAAAAACCAGATCACACACAAAATACGAACACAGATACACACACACACACACACCGTGGACATTTTGCATTACAAGAGAGTATGAAAATAATTAAATTCAGTTTCCTTACTTTCAAATCAAACACAGTTCAGAATTTTCCAATAAGCAATATGACCAGTCAGGGCCAAGTGTTCTTTTGTGGTCAATTTAATGTGAGAGAAAATGATTGAAATCTTTTGGTGATATTCAAAACATGATTATATGGACTGAAACAATGTCTCAGCAGTTCAGAGCACTTATTGCTCTTTCAGAGGACCTGGCTTCAGTTCCAAGCACCTACATGGAGGCTCACAATTGTCCATAACTCCAGTTCTAGGGGACCTGACACCCACTTCTGACTTTCATGTGTACCAGGCATGCTGTATACATGCTATCTCAGTTACAGTTTCTATTTCTGTGGAGAGACACCATGACCATGGCAACTCTTACAAAGCAAAACATTTAATTAGGGCTGGCTTACCATTCAGAGGTTTAGTTCATTAGCATGATGGTGGGACAAGGCAACATACAGGCAGACATGGTGCTAGAGAAGGAGCTGAGGGTTCAACGTCTTGATCTGTATGCAACAAACAGGAAGTGAACCGAGTCACTGGGTTTAGCTTGAGCATAGGATACCTCAAAGCCCACTCCCACTTCTTTCAACAAGGCCATACCTATTCTAACAAAACCACATCTCCTGATAGTGCCACTCCCTTTGGGGGCCATTTTCTTCCAAACTACCATAAGTACATACATAAAAATAAATCAACAAATACTTAACATACAATTATATACAAGAATGTGGAATTTTCATGAAACATACCTTATTATAAATTGCAACTTCTTGATATCTATCTGGGTTGTTTTTAGGTTTTCATACTAAGACTTAAGTATTCATTTATTCATTTAGCAAATATTGAATTCTTATTATATTCTTGGCAGTGTTTGGGTGCTGAGAAGTTCAAAGAGGACTTTTAAGAAAAGAAAAGCTATACCACAATAAATGGCCAGTCTAGTTGTTGTGTTAAAAATAGACCATGAGGAGGTGGAAGGCAGGCAAAGGCGGAAGCAGGAAACCCAGTTAGAAGGCTCAGCCATAAATACAAGCATGGTGGTGAGGATCAAGCTGGTAGATGGGATTAATGACATTTTGAAGGAAGAGACAAGATTTACTAAATTCACTAGGTGTGACTATAAGGGAAAATTATCAGAGGAGCTGCAAAACATTTAGCTTCAGCAACTAAAAGGACAAAACTGTCATTAATTGAAAAGGCGAAAATCAAAGATGAGAGAGGTAGCTGATAAAAAAAAAAAATCTAGAATTCTGCTTAGGGCATTTTGTGCCCTCAAACTCTGTAAGGCATTCAGGAATGGTATAAATATGTACAGATGGGCCCAGGAATCTGGAGTTCGGCGGAAGTTGGACTTGAGAGGTCTATTTATAGCTCACCACCCACACAGCCTGTGAGAAAGCATTTCACAGAGTGCTGGTAACTATTCTATTAGATTGATTCGAATCACTTCTTATTTATTTGGCACCAGCCACTTTCACAAGTTCTGAGGGTATGAAGATGGGGATGGTCCACGTTCTGTGACTAAATCCAGAGGCGGAGACAGAAGACACACACTTTTTAGCACTATAAATGCGGCAAAAGCTTGCTGGAGCTGCCAATGAACACACAGATGGAGATAAAAATAATGATAACCAGGAAGGGCAGAGAGAGTATTTGAAGTGTCTTGAGGGGGTAAGAGTTCACTCGAGGGTAGGGGCAGTCATCCTAGGCAGTGTAAATATACATAAATGAGGCAAAAAAAAAGGAAGGAAGGAAGGAAGGAAGGAAGGAAGGAAGGAAGGAAGGAAAAAGAAAGAGAGAGAGGGAGAGAAAGAAAGAGAGAGAGAGAGAGAAAGAAAGAAAGAAAGAAAGAAAGAAAGAAAGAAAGAAAGAAAGAAAGAAAGAAAGAAAGAAAAAGAGAGAAGAGAACTCATTATTCTGGGAGCCATGCCTTAGGCAGTATGTAGGAGACTACTACAGAAAGCTGAGATGAAGAGAAAATGGAGGGTATGAGGGAGTACCCCAGGCTGGGTCTGCAGGGTCCCCCTACCAGAGGGGGTCACACTTAGAACAGATGCATGAGGACTCATGGAGGTGCTGCGTGCAGCCCTGCTCTGATTTGCTGATCTCCTGGCAGCAGTGAAGGGGACGCTGCTGCCTGGCAGGTGAGAGATGGGTGCCAGGAGGTGACCTTGGCTTGAAAATGTACCCTGCATTTTTCCCGCAGTCCCCGAGCTCTGCCGACTGCCCACTGTGAATGAATATTACTTCTGTCTGAGGAGACAGAGTCTCGGGCGTCACGGAACTTAAACTCAGCGAGGCCTGGTGAGTTGTTCCTCAGAGGTTTCTTCTTCCCTGGAGACTGACAGGGAATGATGCATCCGCCAGAGCCATCCGTCTCAGCTGGTACACAGGCAGAATGGCCAGCAGCCTGTGCAGGGAATGCCAATGGAGATACAGATCCTATCAGCTGCTTGTCTGCTTCCGTCGCACCTGAACCGCTGACTTCCGTGCGGCCTTCATCTTCAAGAGTCAAAATGACATGATGCTTCAGAAGTTTGGGTTGTCTGCATGCTTATCTCCTCTGAACCACATGGAACAAGCCTCTAGCAAGGATCAAAACAACATGTGTATGATAGATATACACAGATTTTTGACAATGAAAGATAAAATGTTAGCATAGTATGTGTATGTGGGGGGGGGTGTGACGCTGGGGCGTCTAAAGGGAAATCTACAGTTATAAAAGAGGACACTCTGCTAGTTGTGATAGCACAAGCTTTTGGGAGATGGTAAAAAAAAAAAAAAGGCAGAGGCTGGAGGGTACAGCCAGCCTGGGCTACACCTTTAGCTGAGGATGTAGCTCAGTGGCTGAACGCTTGCCTAGAACATGTGGAGCCCTGAGTACAGTCCTTAACAGCACCATAAAACACTAAGAAGCAAAGAGGCCTCTCCCCTCCTCTTTGCCCACAGGACTCACTTGTCATGGGTACATTTCGGCCTTGGCCTGGTCTGTGATGCTGTATGACATGGTCCATCTTGTGTGTAATAGCCTAGCTAGGAGTAGCTAGGACTTGCCAGCGTTACAGGCCACAAGAAGTGTAGAATGACGGCTGTGGAGGTGACATTTCAGATGGTGAGAAGGTTCTTCCCAGGCGCCTTTCACTGCAGCTTTGAGGGTGTTTAGGGGAATATTGTAGCTTGTCCCTTCTTTCCTGCTTCTTCCTTCCTACTTCTTGTTCTTGAGAAAATAGCTAAACAATCTGTAGTCTCTTATCCAAGGTAAAATTTTGACTTAGCTGTTTTTGATTTTTAGAGAAAAGGATGGATGTAAGGAACCTAATACACAGGAGAGAAAAATTTTAAAAGGCCATCAGCAGCAGTCTGGGTGAGTGGACGTGTCTGTGTACATGTTGTGTGTGTGTGTGTGTGTGTGTGTGTGTGTGTGTGTGTGTGTTCCATATGTCAGGTATCCCTGCTGATGCTTAGGTATAGGGAAAACACGGGCCCAAGCATCTCAACTCTACAATTTATGAAAAGCCCAGTGCCCTTCCCAAGGACAGCCTGATTCTTTGTTAGAGATGCTGCTTTGACTAAGATGTTTTATTGGTAGCATCCCTGGCCCCACACGTGATAAACCAGGCCCATACCTTGCTAAACCACCCACGGATTCAGTCACCAACCAAGGTGCCCTACCCACAGTCCTCAGATATGAAATCAATTTTATTAAAGTGTTGTGAGAGGCAATGGAATGTTGTATCACAGCAATGAATACAATTGTGTGTATTTATGCATGTGTTTGTGCATGTATGCCTGTGTGAGTACATGTCCATATGAGTATACATACACACGTTTGTGTTTATGCCTGCAAAAGCCAGAAGTCAACCTTAGGTGTCTTTTCTCAATGGTCATCCACCTTGTCTTTTGATGCAGTGTCTCCCATTGTTCTGGGGCTCACTGCGTGGCTAAACTAGCTGGCCAGCAAGCCTGGGAGATCCTCCTGTCTGCTCCACTAGCCCTGTAATTATTAGTGTTCATCCCCACTGCCAGTGTTGCTATGTGGGTGCTGGGGATTCAACTCAGGTCCTTGTGCTTGCCTGGCAAGCTCTTTACTGGCTGAGCCATCACCCCAGCCTTGGTAATTGCCTGCCTTATGGCTGAAGAACATTTCGTGGTGAATAGATACAGCTTTGAAGCGAAACAATCCCCTTTCTTCTCACTATCCTGCGGCCTCTCCTTTGGGCTGCTCTTTCAGCTGCTCCTTTTTCTCTTTCCCATCCTCATTCCATTCCAGGAGCTTTTTAAGAATACCTTTAGATTTTTAAACATGTTGGAGAGTTTTCTTATATCCTGGAGAACAACCATGCATCCCCATCACAACCTGTGCAATGGACTTACTCTACCCCTATTCCTCACTCTGAGACTCAGCAACCAATGCCATCGCTAATCTGAGACAGAGGAGGCCCTGACGCTCAGGTATGACCGGGCCAACCCTGACTTCATGGTGATGGGCCGAAAAACTCATAGCTGAGCCCTTCAGCTATTAATGTCACAGGTTATTGCCAAAGTCTCTGTACGTATTCACACTTTTCAAAGTTGTCCAACTATAGTTTCTTCCAGGTAAAATAATTAAATGAGGTATCTCAACCTGCTGCAAAGGATGACGGTCAGAGTTCCATTACCAGAACCCACTTAAAAACATAGCCCATATTCCTAAGGGTCAGGGACCAGCAAGGAAGAGGGAGCAGGACGATTATAAAAGCCAAAGGACCAGGGAGCTTCCCAAAGGATTGGTGTCTTCTAGCTATGACAGAGAAGGTACACCCATGAAACCTCTGTGTGCTAAATGATAACAACACCGAGTGATATACCAAAGGGGATGAGGGAAATCTTACCCCTACATAAAGAGCTATAGGAATTAACAACTGCACAGAGAGGAAGAATTAGTCTTTCTCAAGGATAAACTCCTAATTGATTATCCAATAGCAAACAGTCAGCTCTAAAAGTGTATATCAAGCAACACTAAGCAGACTCAGCAAGCAGATGCTTGTATATTTATGAACATATGTGTGTGTGTGTGATAATAATTGAGGAGCAAAGGCCTCGAGTTTAAGAGGGAGCAGAAAGTGGTAGCATGCAAGAGCATGGAGAAAGGAGGGCGAACAATATATTTTAATTAAAATAATTTTCAAAACTTGTCTGAGTATGAGTGTTTTGTCTGCATGTATGTCTATGCACCATGTATGTGCCTAGTCCCTGAAGGATCCAGAAGAGGGCATTCAACCTCCTGGAACGCAAATGACAGAGAGTTGTGAGCTACCACGTGGGTGCTGAGAATTAAAGCCGAGTCCTCGATAAGAGTAGCCAGTGCTCTTAACTGCTGAGCTGTTTCCTCAGCCCCATAAAATAAATGTCTTTAAAAGTGAAAGGAGAAGCTGGGCATGGTGGTGCATACCTTTAATCCCAGCACTCAGGAGACAGAGGCAGGTTTGTGGCTTCTGTAAGGTCAAGGCCACCCTGGTCTACAGACGGAGTTCCAGTTCCAATGAAATATACACAGAGAAACTTTGTCTCAAACCTGTTCCCCCCAAAAAAGTGAAGGGAGAGACTAAGTCCGCTGACCTGTACACACACATACAATATCATTTTCATTCTCTGTCTCTGTCTCTGTCTCTGTCTCTGTCTCTCTCTCTCTCTTTCTCTAGTGTGTATGTGTGTGTATCAGTAACAATAAAGAAATAACTGTTCTGATTAAACACAATCCAGGTTCCTTCAAAGACCAATGAGAGGATGTGCAGAAAGATGAAGCTGATACTGAGACAAAGGTTGGCAAATTTTGTGTGAAGGACCAGAGAGGCTTTGTTGGGTCAGGATCTGTCACAGTCACTCGGCCAGTCCTTGTCAGAATACAGTCGCAAGCAATACACAAACAAAGACAACAACCGTTTTTTTTTTCATTTATAAGCATGGGTATAAAAAACCCTGATGTCGCCCCTGAGCTGAGACAATGTGTCACGTGATGAGGAGCCTGCCTGTGCTGGATGGGAGCCTGAGTGATGGAAGTGGAGAAAGTGGAGACAGCACACTAAGCTTCCCGCAGTTCTCATGCACTGGCGGCCTCACTCGGGAGTTTTTGAAAACGTTAAAAGAAATAGAATTTTGCTCCCTCAAAACTGTGAATATGTTTAAAAGGAGTTGAAAGGTTAAAGTAAATTGGAGTAGAGAAAAATATATGTGATGGGAGGAAACCTCCTGGCTTCGGAACTCAGTTTTCGTTTTTTAAAAACCATTTCATATTAGGCATTCCCAGTGTGGTGCTTCAGTCTAGGACTGACTAGAAGAGGAGCTCCAAACCTTCCCGAGAATTAGAAAACGTCATCAGGATGTATTTACCTCCCCAGGTTTTAGCCGTGTTGCACGCTTCACACGGACCGTCTTGTCATAGCTTCCTGCTGTTAGGTATGCTGAATTGAACCTGAAGAAACCAGGCTTCTTTGTGGTTGGAGGAGCAATAAACACATACATAGCAAGAGTGGGGCCCACCCTTTCTGGGAATAATAGTTAGTCAGTTAATCACTTACACACCCCATCTTTATCAAGAGATAAACAATGAGCCCTGAAAGACAGATAGAACCTTCTTCTGGGAGTCACAAATGGGAGAAGTCAGTAGAAGACCTTCAAAGTATATAGTGGAGACCTTTAAAGCAATAATATGCTTAATATTAATTAAAGGTAATTTTCCCTAGAGGCCTAAAACTATGTCAGAAAAGGATTAGTTCCTGCAAACAGCATGAAGGAGGGCCCAGGTGTCAACTCCAACCCATATCTATGGAACCCAAAAGGGAGTAAGATCTTACACAGAAAAGAGATATGCATCCTTCAAGTTTGTTTTCCCAAACTGGGTCAACTTTGTGACATTTGTAACTGTATTTTACAAAGTCCAGGTGGTCTACCTGGGACAAAGATTTTCTAAAAGAGAAATGGGTTCTGTGTCCTCTTCCTTCTACACCATGACCTCTTTGTAGAACCTACTGAGAGGCAATGCATTTCCTTGCGCCTCACAGAAGTCCACAGCAGGAAGCGGATACTGTCTTTGAAAATGGATTCCTACATGGCGTGTTAGCTACTGTGTTCATCGCTGTGGTAAAGATTACCCTGTGATCTGAGGGCACAGTTCATCATGGTTCCGAAGTCATGACGGAATTAGTGACAACAGAGAGGTGAGGCTGGGACTCCTCATTTCTTGGTAGACTAGGAAGCAGAAAGAGGTAGACAGAGCCAGAGGTAGAGTGTAAACCTCCAAGGAGTACTCCATGTCAGTCATACAGGCCTCATCCAGGCTCCACAGCTTCCCACCTACCAGCTGGGAGTCAAGAGTCTGAATAGGTGAGTTTGGTGGGAGGTGGGGGGTACTTTAGACTCAAGTTGTAAGGGGAGGGTAATAGTCAATGACTACTTCTTGGTTTTGATATGGTCTTGAACTTTTATTAGGAAATATACTCCTTTTGTTTACACTGTGTGTGTGTGTAAAAGTTGTATTAAAAAAATAGTTTTATGTAACCCTGTAAAATCAAGTAAAAACTTTTAAATTGTAATGTTGCTGAAAGAAGCAGGGGAGACCATACAGGATATAGATGACAATGTGCTCAGAAGATCACCTCATTTGGAGTTAGGAGTCAGGAGTTATGCTGAACAGACACCTTTCCATCATCAGTGCTGATGTACCTTCTGGGGCATCCTAACAAGGAAGTAACTTATCAGTCAGAAGAAAAATATGTCAAAACAGATCGAATAAAATGAGTTTACTGGGAAAAGAGATGGATAAAATAAGTATAGACAATTATCCCTCTCAACCAATAGGGATCAATATTCATATTCAGATAATACATTCAGCTGATGGTTTCTGGAGCAGTTTGGCAGGCAGGTGAGTACTGACATGAAGCAACTGTTTAAATACATGATTTTTGAGGGGGCCACTTCAGACTCAAACTATAACACAAGGCAATAAGCAATGACAAGCTTTTGCTTTCAATATTAGTCTTGGACTTCTGCTGGGAAATATATACTCTAGCCTTCATTTCTGGAAATGAATATAGTGTGTCATGTCCCACCTGACTCCCGTATGCCCATCCATTTCCAAGAGCAATTTCAAGGTAACGCACACTGACAGGTCAATCTGTTTGGATGGCTGAAATCTCCTAAGTGTCAACAAAAAAAAAAACAATTTTGTCTATTTTTAGGAACCAAGACATTGCAGTCCACTTGTCTGTCTCTCGGGTTGAGATCATGTTTTGAGAGAGAAAGCTAATCTGTACTTATATATCTTATAAGCTTTAAGTCATCCATATAGTTTTAGTGACATTATTTCAGGGTAAGAAACAAGAAGATGAGAAGATTCCTGAGCTGACCATACCTGTCAACATGCATTTGAAGCTGAGTACACTGGAGATCAGGTCCCATACAAAAGATCCATGATGAGATGGGCTTATCACAATGACAGAGAAATGAAAAGGCCCTGATTGAAAGCTGTGTTTGCAGATGGAGTGGGTCTGTCAGGTAAAAAGGGTCTGGCTGGGCTCCCCACAGTGCTACAGAAAAAGCTGCAGAACAAGCATTTTCAATTCCACTGTCTTCCCTCCTTGCAGATCCTCCTAAATTCTATTTCAACACCCTGGGTCAGACGCCCACACGTGGTACCCTCTTTCTCTGTCTCTTTAAGACTGCAACAGTAATATAAAGACGGCTTAGATCCTGTGACCCCAAGTGCTTCCATTTGCCAGATTTTTCTGGGTCAGTTTGAATAGCAAGGCTAAAATGAAAATTGGAGAGGCAAGCAAATGAAACTTCTCTGAGGAAAATGTCTCCTGTCCTCCACTCGCCCCGACCTTCTAAGCCACAGCAGGACTGGAAACGACAGCTCCGTCAGTAAGTGCCTGCCTCTCTCAATCTTGAGGATCCTATGTTTGGAACCCCAGAACTCATACAAAGCTAAGCATGGTGGCTTGAGCCTGGAACAAACTCTGGAAGAGGCAGAGCAAAGCTCTGAAGCTCAGTGGTTAGCTAATCTACGTCAATCAGCGAGCTTCCAGCTCAGCAAGAGACCCTGTCTCAAAAACTCAAGGTGAATATTGATTAAAAGATCCCCAACATCTGTCTCTCACCTCTGCACATATACGCACACACACACCTCCCCTAACAAGCACATACATTATGCATGTACCACACATACAATGAAAAGAACCATAGTAGAATAGGAAAATGATAACAGAGGCCATGCGGTGTGCTCCACTTTAGGGGAGAGGCAGCTACTAACTCCAGAGATTTATTGTGTTTTTATAAAGCATAACCACTGCCGGGGATTTGCTACACACCATTAATTTAGCACTTAGAAGGCTGAGGCAAGAAGACTGAGAACTTGAGGGCCAGTCCCAGAATAACCATGTCTCAGAAACAAAACACAAGTGATCCAGCCCCTTAGCCAAGGGCTTAAAAGTCAGGAGTGCATAATTGCTCTTAAACCGAGAGCGGGTCTTTGAAGAACGGTTCTTTTTTAAAAGTTGTACTTATTTTATTTTATGCGTATGAATGTTTTGCCTGAATGTACGTATGTATACCATGTGGGCATAGAAGTGGGAAGATATCAGGTGCCCTGGAACTGGAGAGGGAATTGAACTCAGTTCTCTGCAAGAACGACTCTTAGCCACTGAGCCGATCTCTCTAGCCCCTGAAGAATTATGCCGAAAAGCACCAAATTTTCTCTTCTTCCCCCAAATGGAATATATATTCTGAATTTATGGAAAAGTTTGACTGGACATCTGGGTATAATGGTAGACAACTGCAGTTTTAACACTTGGGAAGTGGATGCAGGAGGATCTGGGGTACAAGGCCAGGGGTACATGAGAGCCTGTCTCAAAAAGAAAAATGGGGGGAAAACTTATTTAGGGAGATGCCTCAGTTGGTAAAGATCTTTCCCTGCAAATATGAATGCCTGAGCTTGAATCCCTAGAGAACACATAAAGCTGGAAACAGAGGCAGATATCTGTAATCTGAGTGCTCCTATAGAGAGATGGGCGGTGGACACAGGAGAAAATCTGCAAGCTTGCAAGCCAGCTAGTCTGGTA